TTCCCTCGATGGGGGCAGGTCATCAAGGTGGTTGGGTGGTGGTCTGCTCCATGTCATCATAGAGGGCAGGTCAGTGCAGGTACTGATGTCAGGTGATGGACGGCAGGCAGATGGGTGGGTGAGTCACATGACTGCTGCCATTGTGTTGGGGTCTGTGTCATGAAGGTCACGAAGGGCTGATTAAGTTAACCTGGTTTTATAGGTGGAGGCAAATACTTGAAATAGAAAAACTAATTAGAGCTGGATTCGGTGTCTCATACCTGTAATCCCAGCACTTTGGGAGGCAGAGGCAAGAGGATTGTCTGAGCCCATGGAGTTGAGACCAGCCTGGACAAGGTGAGACCTTGTGTCTACAATAAATCAACAAATTAGCTGGATGTGGTGGCACACACCTGTAGTTCCAGCTACTTGGAAGGCTAAGGTGGAAGGATCGCCTGAGCCTAGCAGGACAAGGCTGTGGTGGCCGTGAGCATGCCACTGCACTCCAACCTGGGTGACAGTGAGACTCCAACTAAAAAAAAAAGAAAGCTTAGCCAGATGTGGTGGTGTGCGCCAGCTACTTGGAAGGCTGAGGCGGAAGGATCGCCTGGGTCCAGCAGGACGTGGTTGCAATAGTCATGAGTGTGTCACTGCACTCCATCCTGGGTGACAGAGTGAGACTCCAACTCAAAAAGAAAAGCTAATTGGTACAAAACAAGCTGGGGAGGGGGTTTTAAAGCAATTATCCACAGCTACCTCTGAGAAACCGGTTTTGTCCTTGGTGAGTGATTTTAGGGTGAAGTGAACTGCTAGAGAAACTTGACAGATCCAGGCTGCTCATTGGCTCTATTGATTCCATGTTACATCCTTTCGGAAGGATAAAATACCTAGTTCTGAATATGATTCAACTGCTCATGTTAATAATAACAATCAGCGCCAGGTGCCATGGCTCACTCCTGTAATCCCAACACTTTAAGGAGGCCGAGACATGAGGAATGAGTCCAGGACTTCGAGACAAGCCTGGGCGACATAGCAAGACCTCATCTTCACAAAAAATCAAAAAGTAGCTGGGAACCTGGGCAACACAGTGAGACTCCAACTCTAAATAACTAAGTAAATAAAATAATCTTTTACTAGGTCGATGGGAGGTATTGCTTTCTGGGTGATCACATACCCTGAGGGGAACCAACACTTCCTCCAGAGGCAAGAGACATGCTCTGGGTCCAGCGACCACCCTGCCAAGAAAAGCAGCTGGTCCAGAAGGGTTTGCTAGCCTTGTCTTTTGTGTCTGATGGCTTCCCACTATTCCCATACTTCCACCCCGCAGGTCTAGGTCAAGGATCCTCTTCTCCAGGGACACTCCTGGCCAAGGGGACCCACACTCACTGCCGTACTGCTGGCAGCCCCTCTCCTAGGCTCTCTGACCTCTACCCTCGTGGGAGATGCCCGAGTCCCCAGCTCCGACCTGACACACCAGCCCCTGCTGCTCCCCTTCCCACACATGCCAGCGTTCAGGCTGCTCAGATTCCTGCTTGCATGGGGGGTGGGTTTTTACAAAACAGTCATGCCAAGTGTGTGCGGTGAGGACTGAGTGGTCACAGCTGTCTTTTACCAAGTCTGGGAAATTCCCATGATCTACTTGTTTCTTGATGCAGAAACCATGCTGGGACCTGACCTCCTGAACACAGACTGAACACAGGCAGATCGCCCACAGATCCAGTGCCCAGTACTGCAGGTTCACACACGCTTATTTTCTAATAAGCACCTGCTACTGTGCTCTAGGCCAACACAGAAATATAAATACATCACAAGCAGATCCTTGTGAACCGCTGAGCCTCTGACGCACAGACTTTGATCCAACGTGATGGTGGTAGGAAACGTTTGACTCCCTGCTCCATATCCCACACCTCTCACCTGGTGGTCTTGTCTGAACCTTTCTCCACCCTTAGGAAATGCTCAGCCAGGCACGGTGGTGAGCATCTGTAATCCCAGTACTTGGAGGGGCTGAGGCAGGAGGATCGCTTGAACTCAGGAGTTTGAGACCAGCCTGGGCAACATAGTGAGACCTCATCTCTCTCTTTTCTGGAGGGTGGACCCCTTGTAGAACAGGCTCCCCCCACTAGGTAAGTATTCTAGGAACCCATCAACATCAGTGTACCAGCTAGCATGGTTATGAGAGGTTGTTATGAAGGTTCAACTTCAGTGAATTTTTTTTGGAGATTGTTTCAGCATGTTTTGCCCATTTCATGATGGGTGATTTATGAGCGCATCTGCCCACATTGAGCTGAGTATTCAGGAGTTTTTGACCAAGAACGCTGTGACCCCAGTGCCCCACCTTCCCTATTCACCCAGTCTCGAAGGAGCAGCTTTGTTTTTGTTTCATTTTCCCAGATGAAAAAAGTCCTCAAAGGGAAATAAATGTTTTGCCGATGTGAAAGAGGTGAAACAAAAAATAGCAGAAGCACTAAAAGACATCAAAATCAATGAGTTAAAAAATATTTTGAGCGTAGAAAAAGAATCTCGAAAGGTGTATTGTATAAATGGAGAGTACTTTGAAGATGACTGACATGTAAACACATAAGAATAAGTATGCAATTTTTTATAAGTAAATTCTGGTTTTTTGGGGTCCCCTCCTCATATATATAATTTAAAAAATAGGCTGGACACGGTAGCTCACACCTATAATCCCAGCACTTTGGGAGGCCGAGGTGAGGACTGTCTGAGCCCACAGGTTTAAGCCAACCTGGGCAACTTGGTGAGACCTCATCTCTACAATAAATCAAAAAATTAGCTGAGTGTGGTGGTGCACGTCTGTAGCTACTTGGAAGGCTGAGGCAGAAGGATCGCCTGAACCCAGCAGGTAGAGGCTGCAGTGGCCATGAGCATGCCACTGTACTCCAGCCTAGGCAACAGAGTGAGACTCCCACTCAAAAAAAAAAAAATGCTCAGATAAGAACAACAAATATGCCCATCTTTAAAAATAATGGTTTGTTTTAAAAATGCCAAGGCGGACTTCAGGGAGTAACTACTTTCCTTGATCTTCCAAGGCTACAAAATAAATGCAGTTTGAATAAGAAGTCTGTTCAAATTCACCGGCTCATCTGGAAATAACAGAGCTTAACCCCAGCCTTGAGCCATGCATTTTCAAAACAGCTCAAAAGAAAGAACTGCATATTCTAAAATACTTTAACATACTCTGAGGCATAAGAGTCCACACTGGACAGGCACGCCCTGAGGACGTGGAGACTGTGGGGAGGGGGGATCACAAGACACGAGATAAATCCAACCTTGTCACCTTTTACAAGCATCCAAACACAAATCACCAACACAGGAAAGAAACAGACCCTCTGGGCTGGCAAGACGGTGAGCTCAGAGAAGGGGCCAAGGGGCAAGGCATGGGCTGAGGGACCTTGATGACATGGACATGGGACCCTTGGGTCCCACTGGCCTCCCCACCGGGCACACAGGAAGGGACTCAGCTCCTTCCTCTATCACAGAAGAGATAAAACAAAGGCACTGCTTGCACCAACTCCGCCACCCCACTCTGGGTCTGTCTGAACAGGCTATCGGGGTCTGTCTGTCTCATCTGCTGTCAGTGTGGAGCCTGCTGTCATGCAGGCAAAGCGCCCTCCTGTGCCTCCCTTAATGCCTGGTGGGGTACACACAAGTATCTTAGTATGGAATCAGGTCAGCAACACCTGCCTTCTCCCCATCCCACTTGCCTGGTTACTCTCTGTCCCTCTGCTTGTTCTGCATTTCAGACATGTCTCCTACGGGTGTCACAAAGGCATGCTTTGGTTTGACCCACTTGAACATGCTTTTAAGTGGGTGAGTCCATCCACACATGTGTAGTGTGGCTGATGTTTTTCACAGGCATGATTATTCTGAAAACATGGCTGCTCAGAGGATCAAATAATATTTCAAAGTGCTAAACACAGTGCCTGGCACACAGTAAGCTCTATTTTAAGGGTATGTTAAATTTTAAAACTAGGATGTTAACCTGATCAAGACAAATAGAAAAACCATTTACCAAGAGCAGAGGCCAGGGAGAAGACGCTAGAAGCCCGCTGTAGTAAAGCACAGAAAGCATGCACTCTAGAGGCACCTACTGTACAAGCCCTGTCCCTGCAGGCCCGGCTGGTTGGTGATCCCCCGGCTGCGAGCAGCCCATGACCGCATATCAGAAGGCAAGGGCACATTGCGGTTCCAGAACATTCTCTCTAAGGATGCTCATTTCACTTGGGGCTACTTCTGAATTTCCAAATACTCATCAGTGCGCGGATCCAGCCACCTTCTGAAAAAAGAAGTGAGCCAGACATAAATGACTTCCAAGTTTTAGGGTGTGCAGGCAAGAGAAGCCCAGATTAGCAGATATTGATGGGACAGGGACAGCCGGCTGGCTGCTCGGTGGACACCCAAATCTCCCCAGGCAGGAGCAGGAAGTCATCTGATAGCCCCTGCTCAGGGCACAAGTTCCCTCCAAGGACACACCTGTGCCCACATCAGGCCACCAACAAGGGACATGCTGGTGTGGGGACCATAAAACAGCCTCCACTCCTGAGCTAGAGACGCTCCCCAGCCGCCAGGCATGGCCTGGGCTCCTGCTTGCCCACAGAGTTCGTTATCTTGAAGATAACCCATACTGAGGAGGCAACGGGCACTGGAGGAACACCCGGGCAGAAAATACCTAACTCGGAACCATGAGCCCAGACTCCAAGGGGCCCTGGGAGGAAACACAAGTGAGAGAGTCCCTGACTCTGTACTGAGTGCCCAGACTTCAAGTTTCCTACCTAGCAGTCTAAAGATGCTGAACAGCTTAACAGAAGAAAGGAACACCTGTACACTTTGTCACAGCCACAAAGCAGCCACTCAGGTGTGGGAGAGCTCTTTTCTCCCAGTGTAGCCCACATTCATTCCACAGCAATTGATTCAGGCACCAGAGGGAAAGAGGGAAACAGACAGGAAGGCTGGCTGCTCAGGAGAGCACAGACGGAACTCTTCACTGGGGAGTCGTTTTTTAGCAATGGTTTGTGAATTTCTCTTGTGTTTAAAAACATAATATTTCCAAAATGTGGGCATCAGTGCTTGGTCCTTTTAGGTGGAGGGTAAAAGACGGGGCCATCTTCACAGACCCTCAGGCCTTCAGCAGCCACATCTACCGGCCACACTTCCTGCCCCAGGGCTGGTGGCTCCTCGGGCTCTGTGCAGTTGCGCAGCTGCTGATGATCCTTGGTGAGACACAGTTCTATCTGACCGATTGTCTGCACTTCCTCACCCTAAAAACAGAAAGGGGAAGACGCTTTAGAATGTGGTCTTGGTTTACCATCAAGGTCTTATGATCACGAGGTGTCAGACCTGTCTTGAGGCTAGCAAAAGCTAGGACTCCAGACCCTGGAACAGACCCCCTCACTCCACAGAAGGCTGGCATGGCTGAGTCGCACAAGCAGCACGGGTGACTCTGACAGGCAGTGGTGCTCAGCCTGGGGCTTGGGCCTCCCGATCACCATCAAGTTCAGCCTGGCCACCCCGGTGAGAGGATGCTGCTTCTATCTTAGAGAAAATTAATGAGCAATTGACATATCTACAAAGATACATGCCAACATGCCTGCACACACAGCACACTCATGGAGGCCCAAGGGGAGAAACGGTTTTGTAGGTGAAGAGGTGAACAGTGGTCCAGTGATAAAGGAGTATAACTCTTTGGAATTGCAAAGGAAACTGCAATTCCATCAATAAGTGGACAGATGCCAGCAATGAAAATTATTAACATGAGCAACATAGACACTTAGACATTTTCTAACTTTGAATATTCCCCTCAGGGATAAGCAAGAAGACAAGCCCTATCCTAGCATGGTGTCCAAGAACCATGCCTATACACACAGCACGTGCATGCACACGCACACACATGCACACACAAGCACACATGCACACACACACAAATTCACAGGCCCACACACATAGCATACACACAGATGCACATGCACACACACATGCACACAAACCTATATGCACACACACAGAGATGCACATGCACCCACACATGCACACAAGCATGCATGCACAAGCCCACATACACACACAGCACACACATACACACGTGCATGCATATATGCACAAAAACACACAAGTCCATGTGCACACACGCACACACATGCTTGCACATGCACAGAGATGCACAGGCCCACGTGTGCGCACACACACACACACACATGCACACATTCACAAAGACACACAGCACACACATGCACAGGCCCACATACAGATGCACATACATGGACACATGCACAAAGACGCCTGACCCACCCACATGTAACACACACCCACAGATACAAATGCACAAACATGACTCTGCCCCTGGTAACCCCACAGTGAAGAGAGAAAGAACAACAACACACAACGTGCCCAACCTGTCTTGGTGGAAGGCACTGGATCTTGGGTATCACTCCGTACACTCTGGCAAGGGCATCTCTGAAGTCTTCAATCTGATATTCAATAGAAGTGTATTAGAAACAAAACCTTGACATAAAAATCTGGCAGTTCTGATCTACCCATGTGTGACACTGACACAGTGACAGTGGCAGTGTCCTGCCCTTCCTGGTGTTCCCCTGGCTGGTGGGGACAGGACTCAGCAAAGATGTGAGAGTGAAACCTCACTGTGCTTCAGAATCACTTGCTACCTACTTCGCCTTCAGTTTATACTGAATACACACAGGAAAACACAACCTGAATAACATGGACTTAAGGCATGAAGTTAGGCAAGAGGGACTTGCTCTGGGTCACTTCCCAGCCCATTAGGGGCTCACAGGTTGAAGTGGCCCTGCTGGATGTCCCCAGAGACCTATGGGAGATAAGAAGCAGAAGCCAGACTTACGTGGTAGTAATTGATGGACGGTTTTATCCCCAACTTCAGGAGCTTACTAAAATTAAAAAAACAAAAGTGAGTTGAACATGAAAGTTCATTCTCTTTTCTTGTTCTTCTCCAACATCATATATCACAGTGAAGACTAAGGTGCCCTCAAAGGAATGTGCTCTTTTCCTATCAATTTAGGCGGTAGATCCATTCACAAGGACGGCAGATCAGCGGCTCACAGACCCTGCCCTTTCCCACCCACAGGCTCCTGTCCACTTGTCTGCACTTGTCTGCACTTCCTCACCCTAAAAACAGAAAGGGGAAGATGCTGAGTCCTCAAAAGGGCACCACCAATGCCACTACCAAGTGGAGCCGGCACACACAGTACCACCCACTGGCCACACCTAGTGCAAAAGACAGTCAAGCTGGGTTCAGTGGCTCAGCCTGTAATCCCACGCCTTGGGAGGCTGAGGTGAGTGGATTGCCTGAGCCCGTGGGTTCAAGACCCACCTGGGCAACTTGGTGAAACCTCATCTCTACAATAAATAAATAAAAAAAATTAGCCGGGCGTGGTAGCGCACGCCTGTAGTTCCAGCTACTTGGAAGGCTGAGGTGGAAGGATTGCTGGAGTCCAGCAGGTCGAGGCTACGGTGGCCAGGAACGGCCACTGCACTCCAGTCTGGGCGACAGAGTGAGACTCCAACTCAAAAAAAAAAGAAGACAGTCAACGGTGAATTTGGATTCTAGCCTATCCTAGAATTTTTAAATTTTTATAGTTGAGGTCTCACTCTGTCTCCCAGGCTAAAGTGTTAAAGTGTAGTGGCACAATCACAGCTCACAACAGCCTTGACTTCTGGGCTCAGGCTGTCCTCCCACCTTGGCCTCCCAGGAAGCTGAGACTAAAGGCACACACTACCACGCCTGGCTAAATTTAAATTTTTTTTGCTAAAGAATATGTTGCCCAGGCTGGGCTCAAATTTCTGCCCTAAAGTGATCCTCTTGCCTCAGCCTCCCAAAGGGATTACAGATGGGAACCACCATGTCCCATTTGGTCAAATCTTCAAACACAGTCATGTGCTGAATCATGCCCTTTGGACAAGGAAGGACTGGAAAGATGATTGGGGGGGGGTTCCCATAAGCTTCTAATACCTTATTTCTATTGTACCTTTTCTATACTTAGATGTACAAATACTTACCATTGTTTTACAATCGCCTGCAGTATTCAGCACAGTAACATGCAGGGCAGTCTTATAGCCCAGGAGCAATAGATTGACACAGTATAGCCTGGGTGTGCAGTGGTAGCACCATCAGGACTTGTGTAAGTTCACTCTACAATGTCCACACAATGACAGAATCCCATGACACATTCCATATTCCTGTCATTAAGCGATGTATGACTGCATGTTAAATACCCCTAGCTTTGAGTCCTTTCCTAAAACATTGCGACAGAGAATCCATCACAGTGCCATATAATGACCTTATTAATTTGTGGAGGTACATTGTACAAATTCTTAATCATTCCCCCAAAAAACTCTGTAAGCTCCATCAAGGTTTTGTGAATTACTGTAGATTTAACCACTAAGTGGAGCAAAGACTCAGGCAGGCTCTCTGGGTGTTAACATTTCAAAACTTCAATTCTCTGAGCGCTATGAGCACTCTGAGAACTCTGCTTCAAGATATTTTGTCATTTTTTCAGATTTTCTGCCTTCATATAATAAAGTGAATAAAAAATTATTATACTTGATGACAATTTGACAGGCCGACCTATGAGAAAAAAGTAATTTGCAATAATGGTTTATAAAGAAGAATGAGGGGTTCTTTTAAATGTTGGCTTAATGTTAATTTTATGAGTGCTTAGAGCTTTAAATTTTCCTTGGAGAAACCAAAAACGAATATAACTTTTCGATAATTGTTCTTTATGGTTTTCCACAAAAGCAGCCCTCCATGGACACGGGCTGAATGAGGGAGAAGGACTTGCTCCCACCCACGGCGGTGGCTAGGCCATGTGGGGCCTGCTGATGCTCCAGTGAGCCCGGGTTTATAGTTTTGCCTATGTGTGTTATATGTCTCAGTCCTCTCAGTGTTGCTGCAAGGAATGCCCATGGCTGGAATGTGTAAAGGATAGAGGCTGGCTGGGTATGGTGGCTCACACCTGTTATCCCAGCACTTTGTCAGGTGGAAGAGAGAGGATTGCCTGAGGCCACAGGTTCAAGACCAGCCTGGGCGATTTGGCAAGACCTCATCTCTATAATAAATCAAAAGAAAGAAAAAAATTAGCCAGGCATGGTGGTGCATGCCTGTAGTTCCAGCTACTCGGAAGGCTGAAGCAAAAGGATCACCTGAGCCCAGCAGGTTGTGCGATGGCCATGAGCATGCCACTGCACTTCAGCTTGGACAACAGAGTGAGACTCTGACTTAAAAAAAAAAAAAAGAAAGGATAAAGCCTTGTTTGGCACACAGTTCTGCAGGCTTTGCCAGAAGCATGTGCCAGCATCTGTATGGCTTCTAGTGGGGGCTGTGTGCTGCCTCCACCCACAGCGGAAGGTGAAGGAGCCCACATATGTAGAGATTACATGACAAGAAAGGAAAAAACCGGCTCCCTTGGGAACTCACAGGGTGACAGATCCCTCACACCAAGGGAGGGCATTAATCCATTCATGAGGGACCCTTCCCTGGAACCCAAGCACCTTCTACTGGGCCATACCTCCCAACGCTGCCACACCAGGGGTCAAATTCCAGCATGCGATTTGGTGGAACCAGCAAACCCCAGGCAAACACAGCTGCAAAACTACTGAATTCCAGAAAGTGTAGCTAGGAACTACTTAGTAAGTGCTTGTTGGACAAAGAGGTGAATTATTTGGATAATTGATATAAACCTCCAGCAGTATTCACTTACAATAAGTACCCTACATATGAACCAGTTCCATTCCAAGAGCGTATTCATAAGTTCAACAAAGTCAGCCTAGGTACCCAACAAGTACAATCAGCTATACAGCACCAGCTATTTCACTGCTGCTCTTAACACTTGCTTCCAGACATCCTGGGCTTAAAATAAAGACACTGTACTACTGTGCTCTATACAGTACTGCATAGTAAAATGCAGAAGTACATCCACTTGTAGAGGATGCCTGACACGTCAACTAACTTAGGAGATTGGACATGCGAATACATGTTTGTGTCTTTGAATGTTCACAACTTCAAGGTTCGTATGTAGGGGATTTGCTGTCCTCTCCTTTTTCTGTTCGATTAAGTCAGCCTGGTGGTAGAGCTAGCCTGAGCTCGCACGACTGATGTCTGTGGTGAAGTCAAAGCTGTGGGGTCCACATTTGGAAAGAGAGGGCATCTGTCCTGTCTTCCCCTAAGTCAGTCTTGATCTGTCAGTCTTTCAGTGATGACAGTTTCTCTTAAACTGCACGTCACCTGCATACCAGAAGCCACTACAGACACTCTCTTGGCTAGAGGGACACTCAAAGTATTTACTATCTACACATTCGGGGTGAGGAAATGTTTCCTAGGGCATTGCTCTTACTGCAAGAAAATAATGCTCCCTCTACGAAAAACCTACAGTTAGTTACACAGATCAAATTATACAGTGCTCATACCTGTCATCCCAGCACTTTGGGAGGAGACAGCATTGCCTGAGCCCAGGGGTTCGAAACTAGCCCAAGCAACTTGACAAGACCTCATCTCTATAATAAATAAAAAAATTAGCTGGGCATGGTGGCACATGCCTAAAGTTCCAGCTACTTAGAAGGCTAAGTCCAGCAATTTGAGGCTGCAGTGACCGTGAGCATGCCACTGGGCGACAGTGAGCCTCCAACTCAAACAGCAACAAAATTACATAAAGCAAAGCATACAGGTTCGGGAACACATCATTGTGTATGTAATTTAGTGCAGGCCCTCAGTAACGCAGACTCTAAGACCTAGAAGAAACTTCACCTATTTATGACAGCATGGAAGCAAGTCCTAAAGAGGTTAGATAACCGAACTGTACAACTGGTTAGTGTCAGAGACAGGATAAAAGGCACTTAAAGCTCTGAGCTCTGGGACCTGGTGATGTTCAAGACATCTTCACAGGGCGCACACCCACATTTTGAGGGTAATCCGGTCTCCCAAAGGTGCTCGGCCCCTCCTGTACTAGCGCCTGTGACCCACCCCCTGCAGGCCAGCTGTGAGACTGCACCGAGCGGGACGATGTCAGAGGCCATCTCAGCAAGAGGCTGTTGTGTGTCAAGGGGGTGGAACACACGACTAGAAGCCAACCGCACTGTATACATCCTTTAAGCAGATCTGATTCACATGGCTTAAATGCTGCTGATTAGCAAAGGCACCTGGTGTTAATCTGATGTGAAGGAGAATCGCTTTCAGTCAAGCTGGACAAATCACAGAGGAGGCTGTAGTCTCCTGTTGCGTTTTGAGACCAGTTCACCGGTTTATGATGCCCTCCTACGAGGATGGTTCCTAAGCCCCAACACAGGCACAGCAGGACCATCCAGATGGGGACAGAGGTTTGCCCAGGCTCTTAGTGACCTCAGTGGGGCACTTGGTTTCACAAGTCTACTAGCCTAAGTGACCGCATATTCCCTGTCTCGAGCAGAGGTTCCAAGGCAGGACAGGCAAGGGCAAGTTCACCTGGGCTTGGATCTGGGGCATGTCTGGGGCTTAAAGGACCCGGCCTGCCACCTCTTTCCTGCTTGTCTCACCAGCTCTGCAGCCAAGATCCAAGGACGCCCTGGTGTTCAGCCTTTTCAGGGAAGTGATTGTGCTAATGCAAGGTGCTTGGTCAGAATTCATCCCTGAAAGCGGCAGGCCCTTGTCAGAGTCTTTGCCTCCTTTGGGCGACTCCCTGATGGCAGGTGGGTCCCAAGAGATGCCTCTGTGTCCGCATTGCGTGGTCATCCCTGGAAGGACCTGAAGGGCTGGGAGGCCTCGAGCTCTCCTCAGGAGTGACCCCGCTAGCCATAGAGCACATGTTCAAGGGCCACCAGAGCAGGCATGTGGGCTACACTCACTCCCCTTGATCTGCACCGGGCTTGCCTATACTCGTCCCCCTTGATCCACATCAGGCTCATCTATACCCACTCCCCTAGGTCCACGCCGGGCTCATCAACATGCATTCTCCTGGATCCACGTCAGGCTCATCTACACTCACTCCCCTCGATCTGTGTCTGGCTTGTCTACATGAGCTCCCCTGGATCCACATCAGGCTCACCTACACTCACTCCCCTTGATCTGTGTCCGGCTCATCTACACTCGCCCCTGGATCTGCATCAGGCTCATCTATGCGCACTCCCCTCGATCCGCATCAGGCTCGTTTACACTCGCCCCTGGATCCACATCAGGCTCATCTACACTTACCCCCTCAATCCACGTCACGCATGAGTGAGCAGAACACCTTGCAGCCACAGCCCAGGAACCTGCCAGGAAGGGTACACCCACCTGTTGAGGTCCAGCTCCTTGTACAGATCCAGGCATCTGCTGAAGTACTTCTTCTGGGAGTTGAGGGCATCTACCTGGGCAGCACACGTGCCGTGCTTATCCCACTCATGCTTCCTGTGAGGACGAGAAGAGGCTCCAGGTAAAAGGGGTGAAACCCATTCATAAGAAAGACACTTTCTCTTGGCACAGGATGCCCACATGTGGAGGCCATGCCACCTCTTCTACAAAGTGGAACAGTAAAACTTGCTCCAACATGGGCAATTGCCCCAATCCCCTAAGGTAAGGTCGTTGGTTGCCATCCATGTCTGCAGTGACAGCTGGCCCAATAACAACAAATTAAAGCTGAGCAGAAAGAAGATGCCATGTCCCAACACCCACCAATCACAGAAAATATGTGGTCTCTTGCAGTGAGCTGCTCTCCACAGCAGGGGACTGCAGAGAGAGGCACACACTGGCATCTGTAAGCAGGCAGGACAAATGATCCCCAGGAGACAGTGCAGGCCCATCACCCATTCAGCCTCTATGAATTACTAGTTTATACATCCTTTCTGCATAGAGGACAATAACAAGACAACACAATACCCAACCAAAGGTCTGCAGATGGACACAATATGTATCCCAGAAAAGCGTGGTCATTGATCATAATTCATTACATTTTATTGCCAATCAAAGTTTTACAAAATTGGGCCAGACACAGTGGCTCACAGCTGTAATCCCAGGTGCTCTGAAAGGCTGAGGCAGGATGATCACTTGAGGCCAGGAGTTTGAGATCAGCCCGGGCAACATAGGAATAGAATACAATAAAATAGAATCTACATTTACCTTCAGAATGACTGACACTGTGTCATTCATATGTTAACAATCATGAGCATGGAAAGACCCCCCCATCTCTACAAAGAACTTAAAAACTAGCTGGGCATGATGGTGTTGCCTGTAGTTCTAGCTACTTGTGGGGCTGAGGTGGGAGGATCACTTGATACCAGGAGTGTGAGGTGGTAATGAGCCACCATCGTGTCACTGCACTCCAGCCTAGGCGACAGAGTGAGACCCCAACTCACAAAATCTTTCATTTTTAGCTGGGTGCGGTGGCTCACACCTGTCATGCCAGTACTTTGGGAGGTAGAGGCAAGAAGATTGCCTGAGCTCATGGGTTTGAGACCAGCCTGAGCAACATGGTGAGACCTTCTCTCCACAAAAATTTAGCTGGGTGTGGTGGCACACACATGTGCTTCCAGCTACTTGGAAGGCTGAGATGAAAGGATCACCTGAGGCCAGCAGGTTTGAGGCTGCAGTGGCTGTGAGCATGCCACTACACTCCAGCCTAGGTGACAGAGTGAGACTCTGACTCAAAAAAAAAAAAATCTTTTATTCTTCATTTGGTCCTCACAACTCTTAAAGATGAAAATATTCTCATTAGTTTAAAAATGGGGAAGCTAACCAGGCTCAGTGGCTCAGCCTGTAATCCCAGCACTTTGGGAGGTAGGCAACTTGGTGAGACTGTCTCTACAAAAAATCAAAAATTAGCCGAGCATGGTAGCACATACCTATAGTTCCGGCTACTTGGAAGGCTGAGGTGGAAGGATTGCCGGAGCCCAGCAGGTTGATGCTGGGGTGGCCATGAGTATGCCACTGCCCTCCAGCCTGGGCAATGGAGTGAGACTCCAACTCAAAATAAATAAATAAATAAATAAAATAAAACACAATACGACAAAATACAATACAGAAGCTGAAGGTCACCCAGAGCCTGCACTTGGACACTACTCTGGATTCCAAGGTCAGGCCCTCCCTCTCCACCATCACATGGGGTTGTTGTCTAGTCAACCACTAAACAGAATCTATAGCTACCTTCAGAATGACTGACACGGTGTCATTCACATGTTAACCATCATGAGCATGGAAAGACAAGATGACGTCAGATTTCCTCAGCTTTAACAGCAATTAATTCACAAGGTTTTAATAAAAAGCATTCATGCAACCATTTATAAGGGAGACCCCCAAAAAACCTGGAATTTTTCTTATAAAAAACTGTATATTTATTGTTACATGTTTAAACTTTAGTTACCTTCAAAGTATTCTCTGTTTAATGAGATACACCTATTAAAATGCTTTTCCCACTGCTCAGAACAGTTTTTGAACTTGTCCATTTTATGCTTTTTAGTGCTTCTGCCATTTTTTGTTTCACCTCTTCCACACTGGCAAACGCTTCCCTTTGAGGACTTTTTTCATCCAGGGAAACAAAAATCTCTCAGAGAGAAATCAGGTGAATAGGGAGGGTAGGGCACAATGGTCATACTGTTTTTGGTCAAAAACTGCTGAATACTCAGCGTGGTGTGGACAGGAGCACTTGTAAATCACCCATCATGAAATGGGCAAATAAATGCATTGAAAGAATCTCAAAAAAAAATTCACTGAAGTCAAACACAGCCTCTCACACTAGCTGGTACAAGGATGCTGATGGGTTTCTAGAACACTCACCTAGCAGGGGAAGACTGTACTGCAAGGGGCTACTCTCCAAAAGATAATTCTGTGTTTTTGGGGTCCCCCTCATATAAAGCACTCTTATACAGTCTCTTAAAAATACTATCTAAATGTGAACTAATTCATTGGTAACACTCATCCATAATACCAGTTTTAAATAACTGCAACAGACATGTCCCTCAGACTAAGAAAACCATGAGACATTAAACTCAGGAAAGATAAAAGTGGGTGAATTAACTTTCTTCACCTAGAATAGCTTCCAGGATGAACTATTTGGTAACTCTACATCCTGTGATGCAGAAAGGAAGATTCTTTTAAACCAACTGAAAAGGAGTCTGACTTCCAGGCGACCTGGCCTTTCTGGAACAGAAGTAATTCTGGAACCTACTCCTCAGGAAGACGGGGAGGGATAACTCGGGGAGGGGTGACTCACTTTTACACAAGCAAAGTGGTTCCTGGCTCACAACGTCAACAATGCCTATCTTCGGAACTAGTGAAACTCGACAGACGCTAGACATAAGACTATTAAAGCATTGATACCAATGCAGTTCGGAACACTACAGCACATTTCAGTTGGAACCAGACATTTTAAATTTTCCAGCAAAAGGGCCTGTTACCTATCTGACATGGCTCAGCGGCTTGACATCTGTCCTCAGAGATGCCCTGACTCACCCACGAGTACAGAAGGGGCCAGAGCAGCCATCCTGCAGAGCTGGAGAGGCCAAGGGACACAGTCCACTATGAGGCCGCATCACCAGCTAGAGGATAGCCCAACCCAGGACGACTTCTTACAAAAGTCAAAAACAAACCAAACAACACTCTTGCTTTGTAGAGTGCTGCAAGAGTGCACATGTGGCATTTTTCAAAATGGTGAATCTTAGGGAATTATCTTGAGTACCAAGATACCCCACCTTGCATACTTGATTGATTTGAGATTAAAAAGAAAAATAACCTCTGGCTGGGTGGGGTGGCTCACACCCATAATACCAGCACTTTGGGAGGCTGAGGCGAGAGGACTGCCTGAGCCCACTGATTTGAGACCAGACTGGGCAACTTGGTAAGACATCATCTCTTCAGTAAATTAAAAAATTAGCCAGGCATGCTGACACGTGCCTGTAGTTCCAGCTACTTGAAAGGATTAGGCAGAAGGATCACCTGAGCCCAGCAGTTCGAGGCTGCGGTGGCCCATGAGCATGCCACTGCATTCCAGTCTGGGCAACTCCAACTCAAAAAAAAAAAGAAAAAAGAAAAGAAAAATGCCCTCTGACAGAGCCTCCCTCCTAGAGAGCACTTTGGGTGACTTCAATGGTGGAGATGTGGCTTGGTGCCAGGGAAGGCACGGTAACGAGGGAAATGGACCAGGCAGACCTACCTCCATGAATGATATTTTGTACTTAGAAGCCCTCAAAAGTACAAACATTAATTAGTGTTTAAGACTACCTTTTCATTTAGAGCAAAACAAATTTTTAAGTGTGAAATTCAACATCCAGCCTGAAAAACTAAGGTAAATTATTTTGCCTTTATTATAGTACACGCACACACACACAAGATCCACACACAGCATACACTTTGCTCATACTAGGTTGGTTGAATGACACAGCTCACAGACGGTCTTCAGATACATTTGCTGATTTTTTTTTTTTTAAGCACAAGTCTCACTCTGTCACCTAGGCTGGAGTAGAGTGGCACGCTCCCAGCCACTGCAGCCTCGACTTGCTGGGCTCAGGCGATCCTTCCGCCTCAGCCGTCCAAGTAGCTGGAACTACAGGCACTTGCCACCATACCTGGCTAATTTTTTGATTTGTTGTAGAGACGAGGTCTCACCAAGTTACCCAGACTAGTCTCAAACCCCTGGGCTCAGGCAATCCTCTTACCTCCACCTCCCAAAGTGCTGAGATTACAGGCATGAGCCACCATGCCCAGCACTGATTTATTTTAAGCTAAATTCTTATTGATTCCACCATGAAGCATCATTACAACAGAAGTATTTTGTATCCTCGGTCATCAGAGATTCACCACCTGGAGTGCCCTGGGAAGCGATACACACATATTTTTTTCTACCTTCTACTTCAACTCATCAAGCCCAATTCTATTTTGAAACCATTTTCTAGAATCCAGGGCTGCACAAAACAAGTGTTAGAGGCCCAAGTCATTTGCCACCTGAATTTTCACAGAGCAGTCTTACTTACTTATTTTACTTACTTTACTTACTTACTTTTACTTACTTACTTACTTACTTATTTAGAGTTGGAGTCTCACTCTATCACCCAGGCTGGAATGCAGCGGCACACTCACGGCCACCACAGCCTCAACCTGCTGGGCTCAGGTGATCCTTCCACCTTGGCCTTCTAGGAGACTGGAACTACAGGCATGTGCCACTATTTCTAGCTAATTTTTTGACTTATTGTAGAGATGAGGTCTTGTCAAGTTGTCTAGGCTGGTCTCGAACTTCTGGGCTCAGGCAATCTTCTCACCTCTGCCTCCCAAAGTGCTGGGATTACAGGTGTTAGCCATAGTGTCTGGCTCCATTTTCTTTTTAAAAGCTATCTAAACTTAACCTTTTTTTTTTTTTTTTTGAGTTGGAGTCTCACTCTGTCACCCAGACTGGAGTGCAGTGGCTGCTCCCGGCCACCGCAGCCTTGCCTGCTGGGCTCCGGCGATCCTTCCGCCTCAACCTTCCGAGTAGCCGGAATTACGGGCGC